ACACACACGGATGTGTTGGGTCCGTATTAGGCATTTAGACCACTGTTGTAAACATTCAAGACATGTACTAGACACGACACCTATGTCCATATCCATGTAACATCGCATCAAGCATGGGTTTTGGAGCACATGCTTCTTTATTTATTGATGGTGTGTATGGTCAATTTGGGAAATATGTAGGCATCCATGCATTTCTCTGCAAATGAGTTGGCATAGTGATGTTTGCTAGTTTATCAATGCTTTACTTCCATTTTGTCTATACTTGTGGGCGTAAGCAGCTCATCTTAATGTATGTCGATGTGTTTCTTTGTTGGCAGCCGCTTTTTGTGATTGAGCCATGAACCTCTAATGAAGAAGTTCAGTTTTCTTGGTAGAGTTCCTATGGTAGACCACAACCTTTAAACGTCAAGAGGAAGAGAGAGAGCGAGTAGTGAAATTGTCCAGTGTTGCGAACACATACTAATTTGTTCTATTATTTTCTTTCTTTTTTTCTTTTTTCCTTTGCTAGAAAAAAAAAAAATGAGGAATATTTAATTCATCAAAAAGGCGGCATTGCCTTTTGTCAACATGCACCTGGACAATTCTTGTATTCGTGTTATTTATTATTGAGCTATGGTTCTTAAAAACACTTGATCGGGAGTAATAAAAACGAGATTGTATACAATGAGACTATTTACTGATATAAGGAGGTCACAATTACCTACAACCAACTGATGTGCAATATGATAGTTTAATTAATTGATGTGCAATCTGATAGTTTGGATGTATCATAAAGTTCGAAAAAATTTCTTTTGAACTTTGAGCTTGATTAATGAAATGAATGCAGCCACCCAATTTTACATCCATTGATCAAGATTAATTGTGATCACTTTATATCAAAAGTGAATGGTATGAGATTAATTGTGAGCATTTTATATCAAAGGTAAATGGTCTCCTTATATACTTTTCCAAAAAAAATGTGATTTTGTGACCCAGTTGCCTACTTTGAAAAATTGTTTTGGATTGGCAGATTGACAATCCAGGTGGGCGACATGACCTGAACCAGTGAATAAAAAATTAAAAGATTAGGCGATAAAAGTTGACCAAGTAAAAAAGAGTAAGGAACCTGATAGAACAGGATATTTAGCACGATCTAGATCGGCCTGACCGATTCTAAATTTGCATCACCGACTCTTAAAACCTTGATTATATGAAATTGCCGTTTCTGGAACACCTCTTATTGTGTTTTAAAAAATCATTCCTGCCAAAATAAAGGCAAGGTGTTCGGCGTCGCAAACGGTGGATGTTTGGCCCAATGACTAAAGAATATTTGCCATGACTTCCGTCAAATGTTACTCCTATATAATCATATACAAAGACTAGCGTTTTAGTAAACTCTCGAGACTTTGGAAGGTTGAAGCTTTGATGGGTCTTTTATTCTTTTTTCTTGCTGGATAGGTGGTGTCTTTTAGTGTGTGTACTTTTGGACCTTTAGGTAAGGAAATATTGACTCATGAGTCTTTTGGAATTTGATGGGGGAGAAAGCAACTCAAATTTCCAGGGGCTATGATAAAACAGACCATGCATTGTTTGATAGAGGGAAAGTATCCTATAATCCAATGGACTATGAATAAAGAGACCATCAGTTCATCACCTAGAGGGAGGACTATGATAAAAGAGATCATGGGGTCGTCACCATCCATTCAAGTGATCGGTGGTGTTACCGTTCATCCATTCAAGTAATCGGTGGTGTTACCGTTCAAAAAAGAAGTGATCGGTGATGTTAACCGAACAACCATTTACGTGGCATGAACGTAATGTAGCTGTAGGTCTGACTCCCAATACCTTAAACAATCCAGTTAAGGCGCACTTCCAAATTTTATCATAATATATAATTTTATTTTAAAAAAATCTTAGGATTATCTCAAAATCTATTTTCAAACTTCAAAAAATATTAAAATCAAGTCGATCTATAAATATATGAAAATTTTGAGAAATGCGTCATCTTTGGGACTCAATTTTTAAATTTTTTTTTTTATTATTCGTACATCTTGATGTCAAGATGATCAATTAGAGAGTTTTTCAGCGTTGAAACAACATTTTCTAAGGAAAATTTAAGTGCATTTTTACTTCTACATTTTAAGATTGCAACCTTATATAAACTTTTTACTTGTTGAAATTCCCGATCGTTAAAAGGACAATTTTGGTGAGTCAGCCGACTCACCTATTAGCGTGAAGTCCCTTGTCTGTCAAACGTCCATCTCTAAGATGGATGTACAAAATGTCACATCCACTAAAAGTTAAAGTGGATGGTGGAAAAAGAAATTAGAAAAACAATATTTATATTTTTCAAAAAAGGAAATTTCCAAATTTAGATCATTGTCATGAGATTATTGTCATGAGATTATTGAACCCTAAAATTTTGGAGCAAAAATACATATTTTATATATATTTTGAAGGGAGATGGCACAAGTAAATACTTGTTAAAATTCGTTGTAATGACCTATGGTAAGATAGTTTTTCCATGGTCCATGGGATCATGGTTTCATTTTGAAAGGACAATGTTTATGAAACAAGGGAGAACTAAAGTTTTGCTTTGAGAGAATTTTAAGGTTTTGTAGCACAGTAAAATATATGGGGACCTATGGTTTCACTTGGGGTGTGACTTTTGATAGAGCAGAATTCTTAGTGGATCAGGATTCATGTAGCCGACTCTAATTTGTTGGAAAAATGCTTTGATGATAATGATGATGTAAAACGTTAAAAAAGAATTTAGGAGTCATGCAACCGTCATACGGTGAAGCCATCTTATAATTGAAGTTTATTGCGTCATAAGTAAATATCTATTTATTATGCACTAGACCCTAAGATCCCAAAATTTCCAAAATGTGCTACAAGACTAGTGATCCTTGCCTAAAGCAAGTTTTTGCCCGTGATCTTAATCATCATCAGAATCTTATCCTAATTATTTCGGTTTTTCTTATGATGTTAATGAATATGAACATTTGTTTCGACCTTTAGGAATGTGTAACACATGGACAATGAAAGGGAAACCCTTCTCTAATTTTCCACGCCTTTTCTCTTTGTATTTAGGGTAGATGAACGAAGTTGGTAGATTCTCTTCCCTTGGGTATTTGTGCACAGTCCAGGCATCCCACATGGTATATGGCGATGTGTGATAGACTGGTGGTATATAAACTTTACATGGTGTTTGTTTTATGAACACAGAGTTAGCGGACCATGGCTGCTCTGATCACTTGAACCAGTAGCTAAATGGACATCAAATGTTGATTAATGTTCGAAAATTCGGCTACCTACAGCCTAGACGAAATTTTTTTAAAAACACCTAGGTGCAGTCTAAGCAGGGTCATTATGCGCCCTATATCTGGGCCCCTGCCTAGGGGCTACTTTCTGGGCGTCCTCCTAGGCACCTCCCCATGACAGTTTGCGAATGGGTGGAAAAAAAACCCTCGGTGGCGGTAAAAAATGTAGGGGAAACTAAAAAAGGGGGAAAAGGGTTTTGGGGGATATTCTAGACCCTCAAAACAACCATGGCTTTTTGGGTGCGAAACCCCCCCCCCCCCTCGATTTCTTTCCAAAACAAAGACAATAGTTCATGGGTAGATTTGGAGCTTCTAGTTAATTTTGAGAACTTTTGGTGACCCGGTAGATGAAGTTTGTACCGAAATCGATTTGTTTTAGTAATTTAAAGTATTATTATATTTGAAAGAGGGTTTTGATTTTCTTTTGCTACAACATATTACGTTATGAATCATGTGTTTTTTCTTTTATAATTTTTTTTTGTTTTTTATTATTTTTTTGTTTTTTTTTTTTTTCTTGGTTTTTTGTTTTTTGTTTTTTTTTGTTTTTACGATATATTTACATGTTTGTGGTTAAACGATTGATTTTTTTTGTGATTAATCGATTTTTCTCATTTGGTCGATGAAATAGAGTATATATCATATTCTTTTATGAATAGTTGATTCTTTTTTTGTACAATGTGTCATATTTTGATATTCTATTATTTTTGTTTTAATTTATTTAATAAATAATTGATTATGTGATATCTTAACGGGTTAAGTCTTATATGAAAGTGAAACTAAGGTCTTATATATTCACTAATTTACATTAATTGATACTTGATCAATTATTATTCATTGAGGATAATGACTTCTAGTGCATCGAGTAGGCCAACTGATCTAGGTTGGAAGTATGGACCTTGTTCAAATCCTCTTGACAAGAATAGGGTCGAGTGCAAGTTTTACCGGAAATGTTATAATGCCGGCATTAATAGATTGAAGAAGCATTAAAGGGGATGTGACATCATCCAGTCTAGTGCCTGCTGAGGTCGGGACATGAATGCTAAAGAACTTGGAGGGGGTGAATGCCAAGAAACAAGAGGTGAGAATAGCACGAGATGAGCTTGTAAGGACTGTAGATGTTCTTAGAGTTCGAAGAGTGGAAGAAAACATGTATACTGAGGCTGATTATTCTAGTAGGCCAAGAACAAGAGGGCCTATGGATGTTTCCCCTGCCCTGATCTTGAGGTACTACCATGAGAAAGGGTTCAAACAAGCTTAGATACCCATTTCAAGTAAGACGATAAAAAAAGTGTCACCCAATATGTGGAGAGGTGGATGTTCTAAGCATGCATTTCTTTTAAAGCCGCTAACTTGAGTAGCTTCCAAGCTATGTTGGAAGCAATGGGCTAGGGTTGAGGGCTCCAACTATTAATGAACTTACAGGGCTAATACTCAGGAAAAAAGTGGATCTAACGAATGACTATTTGAAAACCTACATTGATACATGGGTTGTATATGGTTGCACAATAATGACCGATGGCTGGAGTGATAAGACGCACAGAAGCATAATGAATTTGATAGTGAATTGTCCATTAGGGAATGTTAAAGAGGTTTATTGATGCTTCAGATATGTCCCATGATGTAGAGTTCATTTTTAAGTTGGTTGACTATTGTATAGAAGAGATAGGGGAGGATAAAATGGTCCAAGTTGTGATCGATAGATATTTAGCTAATATGGCAGCCGCCAAGTTATTGATGGAGAAAAGGTCCCGTATTTTTTGTCCCCTTCTGCAACACATTGCATAGACCTCATGCTTGGGGCCATTGATAAGAGGAAGACGTTCATGACAACCATCGAAAAGGCAAAGAAAGTTGCAATTTATGTATACAGTCACACTCAAGTATATATTTTAGTACTATACTAGTTTATTTAGTAATTTGTTAGTTGTTACTTATTTTGAGCATATTTAATGCATTGATTTATTGAGGATTTGGGGGTAATTTACTTAACTTAGGGATTTCTATGTTGGTCAGGTCCTAGCCATGATGAAGAAATTTAATGAGAACAGAGACTTGGTGAGACCTAGAGTGAATAGATTTGCCATCTCGTACTTGTCCTTGCAATTTTCTTTCAACAAAAGGAAAAATGTCCTTGCAATTTTCTTTCAACAAAAGGAAAAATGTCCTTGCAATTTTTCTTTCAACAAAAGGAAAAATTGAGGACCATGTTTGTGTCTGAGGATTGGACCAAGTCCAAGTGGTCCCAAAAAGTTGATGGAAGAGTTCTTATGGACATTATTATGGACTCAAGACTTTGGAACAAGGTCCAATATGCCTTGTTAGTCTTTCATCCTTTGGTAAAGGTCCTCAAGATGGTTGATGCTGAGAAGAAACCTGCTATAGGGCAAGCTATGGAGGATGCAAA